AATTGCCTGAACCCAGGAGGCGGAGGTTGCGGTGAGCTGAGATCGCGCCATTGCACTCCAGCCTGGGTAACAAGAGTGAAACTCTGTCTCAAAAATAAATAAATAAATAAAATAAAATAAAATAAAATGACTATTATAGCAATTAATATATAATATTAAAATCCAGCCTGGATTATATCTTTTTTTTTTTTTTTTTTTTTTTTTTGAGACAGAGTCTTGCTCTGTCACCCAGACTGGATTGCAGTGGCACAACCTCAGCTCACTGCAACCTTGACCTCCTGGGTTCAAGCCGTTCTCCTTCCTCAGCCTCCTGAGTACTGGGACTACAGGCACGCGCCACCACGCCTCTCTAATTTTTGTATTTTCAGTAGAGACAGGGTTTCACCATGTTGCCCAGGCCAGTGTCAAACTCCTGACCTCAAATGATCCCCCCATCTGGGCCTCCCAAAGGGCTGGGATTACAGGTGTGAGCCATCACACCCAGCCATATCTGTCTTTATACCAATGCAGTTATAAAATAAAATTTTAATTTTTTTGTGGATGAAGGAACCCATGAAGGTAAAAGCACTTGGGTCCATGAAAGTCACAATGTGGCCCTGTGTCTGGTGATCCTGGCCCAGCCAGGATCCTTCAGATACACAGCAGCACACAGCAGAGCAGGAGGGATGCACATGGAACACCAGGAACCACGGCAGTCCCCACCCTCGGGCTGAGGCTAGAGAGCCCTTGAGAGTCTGGGGAGCCAGCACAGTGGCTCATGCCTATAATCCCAGCACTTTGGGAGGCTAAGGTGGGCGGATCACTTGAGGTCAGGAGTTCGAGACCAGCCTGGGCAACATGGCAAAACCTCGTTTCTACAAAAATAATTTTAAAAATTGGCTCATGCCTATAATCCCAGCACTTTGGGAGGCTAAGGTGGGCGGATCACTTGAGGTCAGGAGTTCGAGACCAGCCTGGGCAACATGGCAAAACCTCGTTTCTACAAAAAAAAAAAAAATACCAAAATTAGCCAGGCATGGTGTTATGCATCTGTAGTCCCAGCTACTAAGGAGGCTGAGGTGGGATGATCACCTGAGCCTAGGAGGTCGAGTTTGCAGTGAACCATGACTGTGCCACTGCACTCCAGCCTGGGTGTCAGAGTGAGACCCTGTCTCACAAGGAAAAAGAGAATCCAGGCCAGGCATGATGGCTCACGCCTGTAATCCCAGCAGTCTGGGAGACCGAGGCAGGTGGATCACCTGAGGTCAGGAGTTCGAGACCAGCTGGCCAACATAGTGAAATCCTGTCTCTACTAAAAATACAAAAATTAGCCAGGTGTGGTGACACCCTCCTGTAGTCCCAGCTATTTGGGAGGCTCAGGCAGGAGAGTCGCTTGAATCCAGGGGGCAGAGGTTGCAATGAGCCGAGATTGCGCCACTGTACTCCAACCTGGGCGACAGAGCAAGACGCCATCTTAAAAAAAGAGAGAGGGAGAGAGTCCAGGAACAGGACTTTTGGGATCTGACTAGCACAAGCATTGCTCAGTCAGAACAGAGGATGCTTGCAGGACCCTGCCTCCAGCCACCATGCCCCTGCTGAGACTTTAATGACCAAATCGAGGAGGTATTATGGAATAGGGAGGGGTCTCTAGACAATGGCCAGTTTTATACTCTCAGGGAAGTCTGGTCTTATTTATCTCACCCTCCCCTGGTGAAGATTCCAAGTGTCCCTCTCCATCCCTACTCTAACAGATATCCCCCATCACTGTACCCTGAGAGTGACCCATACCAAGTATTGTCTTCTTTGAGCTCCTCATTCTGTCCAATTCAGATTCAGCCCCTTTCAAGGTACTTTACCTTCCTCATCAGCAAAATTTCAGACCAAGTCTTTTTTTTTTTTTTTTTGAGATGTCATCTCACTCTGTCTCCCAGGCTGGAATGCAATGGCACCATCTCGGCTCACTGCAACCTCTGCCTCCCAGGTTCTAAGTGATTCTTCTGCCTCAGCCTCCTGAGTCACTGGTATTAACAGCCATGTGCCACCACACCCAACTAATTTTTGTATTTTTAGTGGTGGTCTCAAACTCCTGCCTTCAGGCGATACACCCTCCTCGGCCTCCCAAAGTGCTGGGATTATAGGCATGAGCCACCATGCCCAACCAGACCGTCTTTAAAGCAGGTCATGTTGTTCCCCATTTACAGATGGGGAAACTGAGGACCAGAACCATGGGGCCACCCAGCCAGAAAAGCCATTGGTCTCAAACTTCTAGACTCCTTGGATGGACTTCTCTCTCCTCTACCCCATTGAGGCTGACCTGGAGTGCCCCTCCTCTGGGGAAGCCCCCAACTAACACTCAAGACCTTGGAGGAAAGGGGTTGAGGGCAGGACCCACAGGACCTCACCTGGTAACAAGCCCAGTCTCCCTCCTTGGTACAGCAGGGCTCAGGGACAGGGACATCGCCTTGTCCACACTCATTACCTCCCTGCTTCTATGCCTCTTGCCCTCTCCTTGGCTCACTGTAGCTGGCTCTGTGCCCCAGCCTACTAAGGCTGTGCTCTGCTGACTTCAGTGATCTTCACGTTTGTACAAACTATGGGAAACCATTAGGAGTCATCTTCCTGGGCCTCTTGGCCTCCTGTGACACTCTGAGCACTTTTTTTTTTTTTTTTTTTTTTTTTTTTTTTTTTTTTTTTGA